AACGGAAGTAAATGTGCCCCAACACATTTGCCTGTTTGACTGTAAAACCTAATGTGTACAGACCTAATTTCATCTGTACAGTTGCTATTTATGTGTGAAGTCGACCGCTTGTGTGTTGTGTACTCCACTTTGTCCACTCTGCGTTTTTTTGTTTGGTCTGGAGGCATTACACCAATTCTTTAGAAAGAGATCAGCAAATGACATTTACTTGGTTCACAAATGGTAATGAAGGATTTAACCTACTGTAATGGGTAGATGAATGTTGGCTAAACAACCAGTAACAAAACAGCTACTCTTGGTCTTAAATTAATTTCAGTGGTAATATAATTGTATTCAATCTTACTTTATAACATATACTCTCTTTGCATCAAGGACATGGACATGTTAGCTAATATTACACCCTCTCTGTCCTCCATATTCACACTCGTTTTGTTTTGTTTGAGAAGGTAATGAAGAAAAACAAACGGGAGCGTGACGAGGACAGTGTGCGCCACGGCGATCAGTACGACACCCAGCTGTTGTGGTTCCTGATGAGACACATGAGAAACAGGAGACCTGCAAGGGTGAGATCTCAACAAGTCCAAAATTACTTTCTTTTTTGGGGGGTAGGGGTTGGACAGGGATTGACAGGGAAGAGTTAATATTTTTGAAAAAAGTTATGAAAAGTGTCTTTAGGGAAGCAATTTTCTAATACATCTATGTAATGTCTCTGCAAAAATAATTTATGTTGGAAGAAAATCTGAAAAAGTAACAATCCAATATGTTGAAAATGTTTCAGTTTTCTGAAAAGAACGGATGGGATGTTTTAGGGCTGTTCGATATAACGATATATATCGTTTGACAATATAAAAACATCTATCGTTTCATTTTACGCTATCGTTTGTTTCGTGGTGTCGCAAAATAAACTGTTTACGGCAATATTTTTTCATCGTTTTGATGATCACTGTAGTGGCTATATTAATTTCTTAAAGTTCTCTCTTTCTCTTATATGTAATATAACCACGCTACGGACGGACAAGCGCCTGTTTTTATGCGTTGTGGTTAGCAACAACGATGGTAACAGCATCGCGTGTCCGCTTGTTTATGTTCCACATAAACCTTTCACAATAAAGCTCAAGATCCTGTTGAGACTTTTCAAAATAAACTGAATCACGTGAAAGAGCAGATTATTTACGGATGAGAAGTAAAAAAGAGCCGCCAGGTGCTAAAAAATAAACCTTAGACTCAAACGTTAGAACAGGCAACCTGCAGCACGGCGTGTAATAAATACAACTTATGTCTAAAAATGTATAGTTTCATGCATCGGTTAAAACACTCGACTCCGGGTGAAGGACGCGCAGCTGGAAACACTTCACGCAAGTCGAGTTGCCTGAGATTCACAGAATTTACAGGAAATGTTAAATTTTTGTGATTTATATCGTTATCAGGATGATAGAATTCTTATATCGGGATATGAGATTTTGGTCATATCGCACAGCCCTAGGATGTTTGCATGTGACTCATTTAACTTGCTCATTGTCACTTTTCTCTGGCTCAAATCCAGGCCCGCCGTGAGGGTGCAGATGCAGACACAGATGATTCTTGGAGTTCTCCAGATTCCTCAGATGAAGAGGACGGAGGTCCAGATCACGTCCAGTGCATGTCATCATGAGCCACACACATACATAAACACACACACACACACATACATTAACACACACACATACATAAACACACTTTATTGCCCTTGAATTGATGCACATAGGCAAGCACTATTGACACACTGGCACATTCAAACACTGACGAGCCACAGACTTTTTTAACACACAAACACAGATAAACACACATTTACTTAAACATACTGTTGAAGCAGAGTGATAGTGACAGAGATGCTTAGCGCCAGGTTTATCAGCAGTTACGAGTGTGCATATGGCAACTACAGACACACTTCCAGAATCCCTTTCTAGTTTTGTTTTTTTGAGACTTTTTCAAAGAGGTGAGGTTAGTAACTGCTTTTACACCCCTATGAACCATTTGGAGGTCCTTGGCTGTCCATACATCAATTAAATGCTCTGTCTAGGCCCAGAATGATGTACTGTGTGTATATGGCAACATATACATCCAGCTTTAGGCAACCTGTAGTAAGCTATACATCACCAGCACACAATCCCCTTTCTCTTAGTAACACACCTCTTGCTTTTGACCTTTCTGTGTTGAGGAGGGGTTTATACACTCAAGCCATCCCCTAAATGTGACTTCCTTTAAGATTTGAACTTTGAGGGAGAGCCCAGCGGCCCCCGCTCCCAGTATCATACTGATTCTTAGGCTGTTAGCTCAAACAGCTGATTGCATCTATCACTTGTTTGCTCCCAGAGAAGTACTAACTCTCTTCGTGCTGCATTATCCTACATGCTGCCCTCAGCCACTCCCTCCTCTCCTCCTTCCATCATCTGCCCCCATCACTACTGAGTGCACTTTGAATCAGGGATGCTTTAGTTTGAGACACAGACAAAATGTGCACTGAGTGTGTGATAGGAAAATCCAGTTTAGGTTTTTTTTTTTTTATGTTTTGTTTTTTTTCTGAGACGGGGGTGTTTTGCACTTAAGTGTTTCATGACTTGAGAAGAGGTGGTTTCCTTTGTTTTGACCACCCTTTCCTCACCTCTTTCTTCCTCTTCCTCCCTCAGTCTCTATTTAGTTCGCCTCTCAGTGATCACAGAAATTGAGAGGTAGAAGGTGTTCAGCATATGTGTAGGAATTAAGGACTGATTTGGGGCTCTGTTGGGGAATTTGTCATTTTAAAGAGCCAGAAACGACCTGGATTAATTGCAGTTGAAACACTGCCTAAGAGCCAATAGAGATGGGAGTGATAAAGGGCTGCAGATGTTTATGTGGTTCCTTAAAGAAATTTGGACATTAACTTTCAGTTTCTTGCCATGAATCTTGAACAAGGGAGAAATGGCTAGCCTGGTTCAGTCCACATAGCAGCACATTTGAATCTCTCCACTTATCACATTTTATGTTGTTTGTTTAAGCTGTATGACAATCTTAATTGTCACTGAGGATGGTGGAGAGTAACCAGAAAGGAAGTTTGCTAGGCTTTGAGATTTGGCTTAAAGAATTGACATACAGTGTTATAACTTAGTGCTTATTAGTTGGTTTGGTTATCTCTGGACAGACCCAGCCTAGCCACATCCCTGGGTTGCATCCCCTTTGTATAAAACAATGCTAAGTACCTGATGGTGTTAGCTTCACATTTAGTATATTTAATAAGCCTGACCAATGTATCATCTAGCTTATGGCAAGAACAACAAAAGAAAAGGTTTAAAAATGAATTCCACCTGAGCCAGGTCGGGTGTTAGCAGCCAGCACATCACTCCTGTCTCTGTGCTGTGTTGACAGCAGCTCAAAGATGAGGATGGGGGGGAGGAGCAGAGTCAATATGCTTGCCAGTCATTTGTTGTGTGAGAGCGATAAAAGTCCAGCTTTTCTCATTTTCTATGAGAACTGTAGTTAGTTGAATTTATATGTATATATATAAATATATAATAAAACTGTAAAAAAAAAAAGAAAAAAGAAAAAAAAAGACTTTAGCAAATGCTGTTCGACTTCAGAAAAAAATGTCAGAACATTTGATTGGTAATGATCCAGAGGTTTATATTCTATATGAGGACAAAATACTTTTAAATCCAGAGAAAAACACGTCTTGACATGAACATTTTCTGTTTTTTTTCCTCTTCTTATGACATCTGTTATAAACAGAACTGCTATCATTTCAAGTATTGACTTTTTCTTTTTTTCTTCCCAGAGAAACAAAAAGCAGTGTTTCCTTTCTAGATATCAATCCATGATTTGAGACAGTTCTATCCAGATGTTCCCACTGGCTATTTTGGGTATCTTGTATACATATTACAGCTTTTGATGAAGTTTTTTCCCCACCACTGCCTAATATTGCGTTCTACCAGTTCAGTTGGAAATAAGTACGATTCGTGCAATAAACAAAAACAGTGCTCTTGATGTTGTCATTTTATGGTCTCATTCTTTTGCATTTGTTAAAACACTTGCTTGCCCTATTGTGTGTGTTTAAAATGTTGTCATTGGATTTGCAGAGACCTTTCTTGTGTGTCTTGTGGTAGCAAACTGGTGGTTGTAAAGGAGGGTGATTTAAAAAAAACAGTGGGGCTGTACACCAGCTTTGTGAACCCAGCAAAGACACACAGAGACCTGTTTAGGTTTTGAATGTTTCAATCACTATTGCTCTTTTTTAAACTGTCTCATTTAAATGTTCACTGCTAAGGTTTACTAATTTCTAATGATGTACTCATCCACTTCATTGATGCTCGGTCAAATATGAAAATAACACAGACAATCTAAAATATCATCACTTTGACTCTCATATTCAGGTAAATTGGTCCATGGCTCCATAGATTTTAGAAGGGCATAAAACATGATTGTAGTACAATCATGAATATCATGCTGTTTATTAACAGATTGGTTTTTAAATTGCCATTAATGTTGCTAAAATATGAAAAATTGTAACGGATAATGAATCTTAAACAGTTTGCAAAAAATAAGATGCACAGAGGACAGAATTATAAGCCTGCCTTTGAAAAATTTATGTTAAACAGAGAATTTCTTTTAAACACAACTTTTCCAAACATACTAGATGTGGTTTTTTTGTTGTAGGAAGACAAAGTGAGGACCTAGACCATATTTGCTGACTCAAAGATCTTTCAGACTCCTAAGCTATCCTCTTTTCTTCATGATTTTTTTCTACATTGATGAGATTCCCAGCTACGGACCAGGGCTGCCTCCAGAACTTTTTCATAGGGGTGGCCACTAAAAATCTTGGGGTAGCACAGCAATAACAGAATTTCCAGTTTACTTATGCTGTTGTCAAATATACTTAAAACAGATAGCAAAAAAAGAGAAAGAAAATAATTCTGTACACTTAATTTCCTGTTATTAAAGTTGATATCACTGAAAATACATACATATGAAAACCAAATATAATTTTTAATCCATAAAAACCTGTTTTCATAGATTGATTGTAGTGTGTCTTCCTCTCTTTTGTACTCAAGTTTATTAAAATTAGCACCAACATAGACAGTGTTGCCAGAGGAGGGGGGGAGCTAGCAAATTTTAGGGGGGTGGTCAGTGCCTGTCATTTAGCCGGAGATTTGCAGCAACTAAGGAATGTTTCCAGCACCTCGTTTAATCTATGCCATGAAAAACTGAGGCAGTGGTAGGTGAGCGTATATACAGTTGCTTGCGAGACTGCTGATTTCCATCTGTAATTGTAATCTGTTGTTATTATTATATATTATTATAATTGCTGAATTCCATTTAGCTGCTGCAGTCTCAGGTTTCATGCTGTTTAGGCTGTATTCTAATAGAGCTCAGTTATTGTTTATAGGTTTCTCCTACAAAGAGAATCACAATTCCTCCAGTTTAATTAATGGAATTGCATTTTTCTTCCATATGTAGCCAGTTTGCACAACAATCAAAGCCCTCTGCTGTCTAATGTATAATTTGGGATTCTGGTGTGAGGGTTCAGTACTGAGGTAAGTAGCCCTGAGCAGAAAGCATTGATTGAAGTCTCCACTCCTACACTTTTTGTTCATCATATATCTGACAACTTTGGCATGGTCTTTCCTTTCAATTGCCTCCTCCGTCTTACACCTGTGACAAGCACGCATTTCTCCAAACCAGAGAAAGGATCTTCACGTGTTTTTATTCAAACTGTTTTTTGAGCAGAAACTTAAATTCTGGCAGTGACAACATTTATCCAGGCTTAAAACCTGCTGCACCAAACCTGTTCCTCTCATATGATAACATCATTTATCATGAAAATAAAAAAAAAATCATACAAACTGGTAACATGTACAAAAGATGGTGTCTAATTTTAAAAAATGTATTTTGCTGAGCTGATGCAGACAGATGATCAGTTCTTCTAGGCAGGTGATTAGACTCAAAACCAGATCTATGAAAATGCATTTTTAGGATCCATTTCAGACACCCGTGAAGCCAAAAAAAAAAAGCTCATTACAAAACAAAGACAGCTTCTTCGTGCCATCTCTTTTCAACACCAAAAATATTACTCAAGAGGACAGCAGCTGAAATATGAAATCCAAAGATGATGATGCACAGAGAGCCCTTTGTAACTCATCCCAATCAACAAACGTCATATATGAATTTCTCACATTTCCTTGTGAGGAAAAAATTTTATTTATTTATTTTGAGCCTCTTTTACTGTAGGGTAGATTAATATCTCCTAAACACAAGAGATAACAGTCCTTCAACCCGTTTCAGTCTGTCTGTTTGGCTTCCTGCTCCTTCCTGCATGTGAGAGATGTGATCTCAACCATCAAATATAATCCCACGGTATAGTGCAGACATAAATATTAAAAGAGGCACTATCATGGCCTTTCATTTGTTGACATCTTTATGCACCGATAAGAATCTCAAGGCACGGCCAGCATCAAATACATCACTCCTTGTACTCCAGAAACTGCTGCAATCTTTTCCGATGCTCTGCAGACAGCTGAACAGCACTGAGGATCAAACAAAAACACCAAGGGTTATAATACTCAGAATGCAGTTTTCTTTCTTAATCACACAAAATACTACTCAGATTTTAAATTGTAAGCAGCCTTACTTTAAGTGATCACCAAATGTGGTTGTTATCCTGTAGATGGCAGTCTTTAGTGTGGCCCTGAGAGCAAAGCGCAGCGTTTTGTATGTTGAGTCTCCCATGCTGCTGGTCGACCTGACAGGCTTACTGGAGGCATGGGGCAGCTTGAAGTGTCGATCGACAGCCTGCAGACGAGAAGTACAACTGTCCTGTACATGTACTACTTAAAATGGTCATTGTGCTTAATCAACCTGCGTTATAGTGAACTGGGCCCTATTAAAAATGGTCTCCTTATCCTAATGGAAAAGCCATTAGGACAGTTGTTTCTACTATTCTTCTGTTTCTACTTTAAGGGAGCACAAGAAAATCTCCAGCAAGTATATCCAGAATAGGTAAAATAATATACTGTAATTTACCTCTTGTAAGACCAGCATGCAGCTGAGAATGCTGGGTAATGTAGTCTGCACAACCCCAAACTGATCTTCAGAGAATGAGGCTTGAACAAGGTAAGAGAGCCCTGTAATGGAAGGAAATCAAAGAAAATAAATTAATATGCGGGATGGAAATTGAATTCAAATCAAATGTAAGTATTCACAGTTTCTTCCTACCTTCCAAAGCCCAGATGTGGGCCTGACTGTCAGCAAAGAGAGCCTGACTCGAGGCTTCTGGGAGCTGCAACACACAATGTTAGCTAGCAGGATTTTTTTCCCTTTAAATTAACAGATGCAGACTCACAATGCTAAATTAGGAAGTTGTTAGTGGGGCACACTTACTGTGACTACACTACAGCACTACAGCATGCAAGTGTGGTTAAAAGAAATATACATAAACCTCAGAAAGTAGACTAACCACATTAGTTTCTACACAGAGGAAGCAGGGAAATGCAAGTAGTGAGATTTTTCTCTGATAATCTCACTGTGTGATCAGAAAAAGGAAATCTCTAAGCATATACTCCAAGCACTAAACTGATTGTCACATGACCCCTTAATTCAAGCTCTAAAAGGTAATTAGTATGCTCACTGGAAGAGCAAGATGGATAGAAAAGAGATGCATTAGTAATGCCTCCACCATTAGGTCCAGAACCGGGAGATAAATTAGTAATGGCTACTACACGAGAACGCTAGATTTGTTAAAAAAAAGACAAAAATCTACCAAGCCAGATAAGAGCATGCCAGAGCCCCCCAGTGTGGAGAAGTTTAAGGGAGACAGCATGCACATGCCACACGTTCTTACCTTGTTAAACAAATACACTATCAGCACTCGCTTTGCCAAGAAATTTTTAACCTAAATGAGACAATTAAATGTAGAAGTGTTTTGGTGATAAAGTTTAAAAAGAGAGAGAAAAAAAAAAAAGACAGACTAACACAAATACTAGCTTTTCACACTTAACCCTGGGTCGAGACCCTGACTTAAAGTAAAAGCACACTTCTAACAATAACCATAAACAGGCTCCCGATTTGGCACATTTCCCAGAACCTTACATCTGAATTTGTGATATCCCTGTTAATTTTCACATCTGTCCACCCCTGACTGTAGGTTTTTGGAAAACTAGAAAAGCTGGATGAAGTAGACCACAGCACTTGACTCCTGTTATATTATTCCTGAATTAATAAGTGTGAAAAGCCTTACGTCAGAAGCACAGTGCAGGACCAAAAACACATTATCATTTGGCTTTGAGACAAGGTTTTAGTACCTGTTCTCTTCTGTTCTGGAGGAACTGAGCCAGAAAACTTGGTTTGGAGGGTTCCTGCTTGTCACTGGGAACTGAAGCTGGTGATGGCGGGGGACTGCCATTAACCTGGGAATCTGTATCAACAGAAGCATAAAGCTTATAATGTACCCAAAAATGGATCAACCTATCAGACCAACCAAAGTAAAAAAAGTATCACTTCATTGCCCCCAAATATGCCATCATTAAAAAAAAAAAAAGGGGGGGAA